GTAATTCATACCTTCGAATAGTTCTAGTTGTATATTCACCTGCAACCTTCGAGAACAGCAATGACGTTCGGAGTTTGGGCACGCTGAAATCTATCAACAATGAGGGAAGGGGAAGGTACGTTAAGAAGGTCGGAAATAGAACAACTGAACTACAAAGTAAGCCTGTAAGAGCAAAACATAGACTCGGGACTACTGATGTACGAATACCTAGGTTTCGATTTTCCATTTTTTGTGAAAGAGGCGAATCTCTAACAACATTAGTGCCACTCATCGGTTGTTTCATGTTTTCTGTTTGTGTGAATCGTGTGAATATACCAGTGAGGAGGTGTCCCACTGGAACAGTCAAACGATCACTTACTAGTCCGATGACCTAAACGATTGTAAGCCTTCACTTATGCATCTCGAATTTCGCGGGTTAGAGGGCGAGATATTTCACTTATTCGTTACAGCGGACCTGAGCAGGGCAATCAAAGGCTAATCAAAAAAAGTAACTTTGAAAAGGACTTGATCTGTCCGATCTTTCTTAGAAAAATTTGAAATTAATAATAAACAAATTTAAAAAGGATAGCAGCGGGAAATGCGTACTGCAGATTTTCTGAATAGATGAGCAAACGTTATATTATAAACGAGTAGCGGATCTCATTGCGGAGCTGTGATTCCCTCTGGTACCATTCACCAAGCTCTGATGCCAAGATTTATCATAGACAAGAGGATGTTGGGGCACGAAAACAATGGGGAAGACTGAAAAGCCGTCATTCGAAAAATAGTATGCGAAAATGGAAGGTAAGTGAATCGAAACCTAGCTCGATGAAATCAAAAGGGAAACAACTCAGCATGTAAAAAATTGAACAAACCCTTTCGATTATAGAGGCACATTGTGAGACAGCAGAATGTGTTCAACATGGCAAAAATGCGAAAAAGCTGATAGGCATTGATGGTGCGACAGGAACCAACGAAAACGATTAAGCGTTAGAGCTCGAATTTCCGTCCGATCTGTTGGATAGTGCAAGGTCCCGGTGAGCAAAATTGTCGGCTAAGCCCCCTTGAGCATCTGCATTCAAGTCATTCGCGGATGCCCACAGTGGAGTTCGCTGGGTGGGAAATGGTCGTCTTATATAGTAAATCACAGTAAGTAGGAGAACCTCTCAGTAGCCACTTCGGCACTACAGAGCATGGTAGTATGCAGCATCCTCATTCCAGAAAGGAAGACCCCGGTGGCAACCATCAGCGGTGCAGGGAGGCAAACGGGAATGAACCTTGTGCTTGTGTCAAATGCTTCTTTACTAAAAGAATGTAAAAAATGAAATCACTTCTGAGCGCTGAATTGACTTCGCGTCTCAGTTCTCTTCTGGAGAATGTGGACTTTCAGAAAAACAAATGACAACGAAGAAACTAATCCTGTGGCTTTCAATCCCTGGATATTCCCATTCGAGAAAGGCGACCTTCCACAATTAATTTGAGTTGAAAACTTCGTTCGCATATTGTTATGAAGATAGTCAAAGGGTATTGATCGAAGAGAATAGCAGTGGTAAGAAAAATTTTAAAAAACTAGGTCTTTCGACACAAAAATTTCACTATGATTTGTTGGGAGTTTTAGTTTTGTCAAAATAAAATGAAATCATAATTCGCTTTGTGCCACAATTTACATTTCACCTGTACACAAAAATGAATTTGCTCACCAACATTGTTGTGATTTTTTCCAATACAACTCATGTTTATTATGTTTTTTTTTCTCAAATTTTTTTCCTATTTTTGTTTTTTCTTCGGCTATCTATCTTTCATTCGCTCACACCGAGCTGCAAAGTGATAACGATCGTAGATAGATTTACACGCCAGCGAATTATTATAGTCCGGGACCATCAGTTGTCACATACTGTCAGAGCCACGATCATATTCAACCAAGCCCACACTCAGCAAGAGATTGGGCGAACAAAGCAATCGCTAGATGTGAGACGTGGAAATAGGCAACCTAATGAATTAATCAATCTTAATATCCAGCAAAGACACTTTATATATATAATAATTCCCAGATAAAAGCCAAATTCAATGGTAATCTGTGCATAGTAAAAACATTCCGAACCGATTTATAAAAGAAAAAGCAAAAAAAGCGACTCCAAGTTTTCTGCAAAAAAATTTGAGATTCCATGGAAACTAACAAAAAATTTGCTCTGCCTGTTCAACTGCCTGCTATCCCAGTCACTGCTTTCCCGCTTCGCATGCTGAATGATGGTAACTGTTCTGTGTACATAGTTGTATGACACCGTAGATGGTATGCATTGAATTATGAGCAAATGAGTACTATGACAGTTTCAGAAGGTTGGCGATTTATGGACAAAACTTCAGTCTCAGACGGGAAACGAACCCGCACTAACCCGGGTTCGTGTCCCGTCCGAGAACCGTGCTCTATCCCTTTGGGAACGCGTACTGTAGCAAAATAGCAGCAGTTAACAAAACATCAAGTCAAAACAACGACAGTACAAATCTTCAGCTAAAACTTGGTAATTGTGTAATTTTTGCGCCAGTTCCGAACGATTCACTCTGATATTCCTTACAATTCTTTACCGTACTTCTGGGAGTAGCTTTTTCCTAGATTAAGGCATCGTTTCCATGGAAGATGAAATTGAAATACTTCGAGGAATGTTCACGGTGCAGCCACAACATCGATGCATTCCTTCAAGTCATGAGGAAGGCTGTAGCTGTAGCAAAATACTGCCAGCCCCCTTCGTTATACACGATAGGGGTAAATGAGGAACTGAACTTGCAGTCCACGTTGAGAACGTTCATGCCGCGACCTCTAAGTAAAAGTGGAAGTGTATAAGACTTAAGATGGTGGCACCTTTAATTTGCGCCAGAAATCTGAAAATCCTAGATAGCTCTATGGAACTCCCAGTTAGAGTCATTCGAAATGCGATGATGAAGTGCGATAAAAGAGCTGTCAGAAAGCATAGCACCTGGACTGTCTCCTTCCCTTGTACTCGTACTGAGGCTTTTATTAATGCCTGGAGCTTACCGGACGATGGCTTTAATAGTGGCGAATTACTTTTTTGGTAAAGACTGTTAATAAAGATCATTTCCTTTCCATCCGAACCACATCATTAAGGAGAGTATATATACGTATGTTTAACGTCGCCCCAACAGGAGGGAAGGAATGCATCAAACGAAATGTGTTGTAAGGTATGGACGTAGCTATTGAATATCTATAAAAAAATACGAGCAACTCGTCATCTATCTCTGATAAGGGCAGGATACTTGGTCGCAGTGGCCATTCAAAAAGAAATGTATACAGGCGTAGGTGGTTTCGAACGCTGGCCTTAAATCTACTATGTTAAAAATCTGCTAAACGATTTTGGGCAAAGGTTATGGAACCAATGCCTTCCTGTGTTATACCATTGTACCAAGTACCTCACAGAGCCGAGTAAAGGCTTAGCTATGGAACGTGGCGCAGCTGGTAGAATGGTGGACTCGTAGGTGTGACACTAAGGACCGATTCCTTGATGCAGGTGTTCGCTCTGCTTTTCCCTATGATACATCCTAAACGCTTACAAAACGTTTTCAGGCTTAATGTGGGGCATCTACGGAGCTCTCTCGCAATTTAGGATTTCAGAGAATAGTAGTCCAATGAAAAACATTCGTACCACTATTGATGGAATAGAAAAGCCTCTCTACTCTGAACAATCAAAAGGGTGTTCGAACTTTTTGGCGGCACCCTGCACTTACAGTAAAAGGCGCTCGAATGATTAATCTGACCAGAGCTCCTATTCTGAGGACGAGTGCTACAGAACGGAAGGGATCAAAAAGCATCTTCAGCCTCCTGCGCACAGCCGCGTAGCGGTTTTAGTTGTGTGCTTTTATTTCTCTAGCGTTGGAGCGCAGCACAGTTTGTGCGCTATTCTCAAGAATGCACCAAATGCTCCACCACGAGCCCGTGTCCTTGCTCAAAGCCTCCTTTCCACACGTCGACGGGTGCAAATTTGTGCATTCAAAGAAGGTTCTACTGTGAAATGAAGCATGGCGTCTTCAGAAATTGTGCAGAATTTGAACTCCCGTTCTATACCGTCATTCCTTCTGAGAGATACGGTCCATGCTTTCTGGGATTACTGTCTGCACTTTCAAAGCTGTGGTGCAAGTTAATTGGCACTGCTGAAGAAATGCCGTGGAACAGTAGTTTGTTGATTTGTGTGTACAAATGATGATCCGCTAACTCTTAAGATAAACGACCTTTCAAAAAGCTCTTTCACGAGGTAAGCGTGGTGATGCCGTGGGACATGATACCATGGATATCTTCGGAACTCAAAAAACAAATACGACTTGCTTTGAAGTAGTTCCCCATGGGTCTTCATTGTTGGGAGCTCCGTAGGGAGCTCCGTAGATACTCAACATCGAGCCACAAAACGTTTTACAAGCGTTTAGGATGCATTTCATGGAAAAGCAAAATGAGCACGATCATCAAGGAACTGAACCTTTATGTCATGCCTACCATTACACCATTAGATCAACTGCGCCACCGCTACACAGGTACGGCTTTGCGCTCGGTGATCTGCTCAGTGCAGTATAACACAGGGAGGCTTTGGTCCCGTATCTTTGTTCCCAGAATCGTTCAGCAGATTTGGAACACAGATTTAAGATCAGCGTTCGAAAACACCTAGGCTGGTATACATCTCATCTTGAATAGTCACAGTAGCCTTTCCTCGTGAGCCCCACAGATATTAGAAAACGTGTATTTAACAACTAATATCTCCACTATTTTTGCACGCATTGAGGCTCGAACGATACAAATGAAAAGCGCAAGAGACGAAATGATATAGGGCGTGGGTGTCATCGTCGTGGGTGTTATCCTATCTCATTATTACTGGGACAGCGGTAGAATTTTGAATGCAGTGAATCTGTGAAAGAGCATGCTGCTTACCTATTCTATCAATTTTTATTTATAAATTTGTTCCGATTATCACCAATAAATTTCATTGAACACTTCCTCATTGATCGACGATATTTGATTTCCGTCACTGTCGGCTGTCAACATAATCGACGATATCTTTCAGTGTTGAAAACGCTTCCACTGTCTCGGGGTCTGTTTCCAACTGTAAATGAAAGTATTGCTTTAGTCGATCCTCAATAAAACTGAAGCTCCACTCACTTTGAAATGGTACGTGATCGCACCAGCCAGCATCTCGAAGAAGTAGTTATGATCGACATTGATATCTTTCCGTATATCGAAAGTCATATCGATGTCATCTAGTTTTTTGGTGGAAAACAGCGACACTAGGCGACGTATCTTCTCCTCTGTCTGAAGGAATGACATCATTGCGAAATCTGTTTTCATAGGATGCGCCATAAACATGGTCATTCAATGAATGTGGACTATTACACTAAACTGATGGGGACCAATCAGCAAAATCCTAATATTGTTCTATAGAAAATCTAGTCTACAAGAAAACTTGTTCTTCACTCAATATGGCTGTCCTTTGCACGATTAACCCACTGGACCCTCAATATGGATTTCAATGTCAGATCTAGGAATGTTGATCACAATGTCCTTATACAATCTTTTCCGTGACGATTCTATCGGGTTGATACAAGATTATTGCACAAGGTTATTGATTATTGATTATATTATTATTTCTTTCTGCTCTTTTTTCTTGATACAAATAAGATTTAAAGTTTGGGATTTCTCCTCTTTCTCTCCTTCTTCCTCTTTCTACTTTTGTCTCTCCTACTCTGCGACCTTCTCTCTCACAATGACCTGACTGGAGTGGGGTAAAGGTACGGTTCAAGGCAATAACAATTACGTTTTTGACTATATGATTTCAACATTTTTCAAGGTCATTACTTTTACAATCATCGCCCATTTTTAGGAAGTAAAATATCGAATATAAAAATAGTGTAATGAAAACATATCACCGTCGAGTCGAATAGTTCTTCCTCTGGCAAGCTCATTCCGTAAACAATTTTTTCTGACTTCTAAAAAAGGGAGAAATCGGTCTAGATATAATAATAGACCTAGGTAGTACAGGCAAATGATATAATGACTAGCACAGACAGAAATTAGAGTGAAGCCTCTGAAGACAACATGCTTCAATGAAGAAACGTTCTACGGATATTACTTGAGTAGTGAAGTTTGAATGGGATGCACTTCACACTGAAACGACGGTGTGTAATCATGCGGTCAGCTGGGGCTGCACGATTCGATCATCTCGAATGTAAATATACAGAACATTCGAGAGAAAATTGAAATTCTTAGGCCACTATAAAGATTCAAGGCAAAGCAAGCGTCGATATCAAGAGTAGCTAAACCTATGAGAAAAGGAACATTCGTTTACCCAAGAAGAAACACGGGCAGAGAGAACGGCGGTTGGATACCATAGAGCTGGTAGCAAGCAAGCTGTTTTTATTGGCGTTGAAAAATCTATTCTCGGCTTGGATGAGAACTAGACAATGAAAAGGGCGAAAGGGCAAAAAATCTTAACAACGCAAACAACACTGAGTGTACTTTGTTTCCGCCCATGGTTAAGTAGGAAAATTGATCAGATTGGGTAAAGATCAACTACGTGAACCACCCAAACAGATGGCATGTAAACAAGAGGACCAACGAGTAATGACGTTGAGTCGGGATATTTAATACTGACCGAATGTTCGTAGAAATGCTGAAACTTGACATAAAAAAGCAGTGTTGAATCTCACTGCAGTCTCCGTCGAGGGAGAGTGGAGAATCTTCTTTGACACCCTTGCTCTCTGTTTGCAGTTCCTAAGAAGGAGAATGAAATTAGAATTGGTCCTTGACAGTGGCATAAACATGAAAAATTGATTGTTAAATTTAGTCTTTAACCGAATGCTCTTGAATAAAGTCGGGGTGTATCACAACCAGAAAGTCATGAACTAGAACCTGATCAATGTCACAGCTCGATGATAGCGCGAAGTCCTCTTGAATCCATCAACAACTGTTCCAATCAAGTTGAATGAGTGTGAAAGTAAGATGAAAAATTTGACTTCTCTAGTCAACATGGGCACACCCAGACCCGAGAAAAGGTAGTAGTAATGGCATGAAAAAGGAAAAGAACGTTCTCTTGCGAAACACGATATCCCCAACTAAGTATCCGAATAAAAAAGTCGGTTTTTTTTCTATCATACAAGCAAATGGGAAATACCCCGTGGGAATTGCATAAGACCTTTCCAGTCATGTTGTTTCCAAGTAAAGCCGGTAAACTGACTTTTCATCTAATTGACAGATTTGTCAACTCAGATTCCTTGCTCGAAACTACTTGTTTCCACAGAACAGGACACCGTCGGTCCCTTGTTTAATATGGTCCGACTCTTGGTTATCGTAGTGTGCTATGGACCTAGGATATGTTGAAATCATACAAGCGCTCGTTGGTGAAGAAAACCTACATATTGCAAGTCTGACAGTGCCAAAGTAGTGACCACTTTTGAAATGTTGATTCTCAGAAAGATCAGTCTTCTAGGCGAGGAGGGTAATCCACATTGCCTACTGTATGATGATTAATTTTTGTATGCCTTTTGGCCACTAATTCGCCTAAAATCGAGGCACAACTCGCCAAGAAATTAGTTAAGGTTCGTGTCTTGTTGCTGTGGGGAGCGAAGTGTACTCTAATGCATCTGTTGTCCTCGTTTGCCCTTGCTTGTTGTGCAAAGTTGGGCTCTCTCGGCATCTATCTTGTAATTGAATTACTCCATTTTGAAGATTTTTCCGTCTTTTTTTATTGCAGCAGCCCATTTAAGTATCAGCCCTCTTGTCCTATCCTTTGACTGCTTTGTTCGCTCGAATGACCACTGCTGCTTATTCGAACAAACCGCCACAACGGATGGCTGCTCGTCTGTATATAACCTGAGAACGACAATGACGTACTGTCATGAAATCGAGAAGGGAATAAAATGTTTCCATTGTGCAACAACCCTTGAGCTCGGCCGCCTAGCTTTGCCACCAACCATTTAGAGTTGCTTTCGTGAGAGAAAATCTCCGTGAAGACGAACTCCGAAGAAGGGCTCTACCACTTGGTATTTACTCTTTTCTTGGTGATCTTCTAGTTCCATAGGATTCCTGATGAGACCTGATGGAGGTCCTACAGTAATTTTCATAAGAGCATGCCCCTGCACGATATTACTGATTACGATTTTTTAGCATAGTAGCGCACCATAGATTAATTTGGTTTACTCGTTTTTAGAAAGTTGTTTTCCCATACTTCCCAGTGGGTAAGTCTCATACATCAGAAATGATGCACAGAGGAATGTGCTGCACTTGGCTTGCGAAATTCGGATAGGACGATGAAAAAATGGCTCACATAACCGTCGTCGCTTCCAGCCTAGCTGTGAATTTCTTTGAGATAGAAAAGCTGTATGGACGTTTGAAGAACTTTGTATACGAAGTGAAACAGGGCTTAGCCTTCGTATACTAACTAAGGAACGCTGGAGGAGCTAAGAGAATCTCACCACTTTGATCGCATCGAACCCGACTGTGTGGATTACAGCTAGGGATCTGTGCTTTATAGTAGCCGTCCAAAGGATAGTTCTTGTGACCTTGCACGGAACAAAACGCGGAACTATGCAGAATTTCGTGGCGTAACCACAAAGAACACTGACAAGGAAAATAACTGAAATAGTTTAAGAAAAAAAAAACTGTCGGGAGGCGACGACGAGGGCGAGGCGTGTCCTGGGAAGGGCGAGCATTGACGGCGGCCAGGAGGTGTGGGCTCTATGGTAGAAAGGATCCGAATACTCTAAACAAAATGCCTCAGCTGTTAATACCGAAAAGACCCTCCTTCCCTTCAGAACTTCCCTCAGGTCCTCTCTCATGTGTGGGTCGCGGTTGATCTTGCCGCCCCTTTCATGATCCTTCTTAACTTATATGACACGCCTCTTGCGACCCGTGGGTCCATCCGACAGATCCACAAATGAAATAGGAAGGAAGAAGTGCTACCATAACCTGTGACCTCGCGCCCTTTATCGACCTCTGCAAATTTTGAAATTACGGTGAGATCAGGAAATATGTAGGCTCACTGTATGCAGACGTTCATCTCTGAGCGTTTAGTCTAACGCTCCAGTGACCTTGATTGAGGTTCGAGGTAAGTCTGCAGTAATTCTGTGGGCGAACTTGCAGGAAAGTTAGTTCCAGAAACTCAAAAATCTTGAAAAGGTCGGAGCAAGCATACGCTATAGACAGCGGACATGCCAAAGCTGAGAGAAAGTCGATCATGGTCTATTCTACAATACGCTCTATTTAATGGCCGTGTGCAGTTCGTAGCATTGTGTTATACGCCCTCTTAGTTATCATCTATAAAGACTAATTTCCTGTATAAGAGTGATAATCAAAAATTTATGTGAAGAAAAAATGATCGAGCACGAAGGCTGAACAGCAGCGGAAAGGTAGATTAATGGTAGATATTCATTGTCTCCCTTCACTCCGATATGTAGTTGTCGATGTCTTGCAGTGTTGAGAACTTTTCCAGAGCACTTGCATCAGTATTTTTCTGCAAAAAAAAGAAGTCCGAATTCTTGTCAGGCTGCTGTTGACCTGTTACTCACTCCAAAATGATAGGTAAGCGCTCCAGCCATCATTTCTAGAAAATAATCGCGATCCACATTGATGTCATTATGAAGGTTGAAGGACATGTCTATGTCATCAAAACTTTTACTTGTGAAGAATGAAGCCAAACGGCGGAGCTTATCTTCTGTCTGAAACCGAGGCAAATGAGGCATTTATGAAAATAACTCACTGAAGATCTGATTGAATAAAATACTAAAATCTTTTTTAGAAACATGTGATAGTGGTCATTATGGCAGCTGTTGTAAAGTTAGCTCTTGAAATATTTTATAGATTTTTTTTACCAGTATTATTGTTAGGGGATCTCGCTCATAACTGTTTGGAAAGTCAGCAGTGAAGGGCTTTCCACAAAAAAGCATAGTGGACGCATTAGACAGTCTTTTCCTCGGTTGATTAAACCAGTCGGAGTACACGGCTGACCCTCCACTACTCCTTTGAAGAGGAACGATTTCTTACTGACTGGAAACTTTTAAGGTTCTACCGAACTAGGCGGGCAGTGCAAATTCGACAAGTAGCGAACCCGGTTCGCCCGTTACGCTTACAAAATCTTTGCCTATTAGTTTTGGAATAACGACAACTAAACATTGAAAATCCAATCAGGTCGACAGGAGCACCGACTTTTCTACAATTGATCCTCCGCTTCGAGTAACACTCACTAATGCTGTAAAATGTTGATAACACAACTATCGAAAATCCATTTCATTGCCCTTCCTATCTTCAAGTATATAGATTAGTCATGTGGTTTCTCAAATTACCAGTCCGGTCGCCTCATTTCTCACTTTTACCAAGTAGTTAGAAAGT